TCCAGTCTGTAATTCCTTATGTTCTTTTCCTAACCTCTTTCCCAGTTCCCAAAATAATGAAATATTTGTTTTGGTATGACAACATATTTTATTCCCATTGTCTTACAAACTCAGAATTTTAAGAGCCAAGCCACTTAATTCTATTCATTCAAATCCATCAATTAATACTTTTGGCCTGAAAAGTTATAAACTTTATTCAATCACATGTTGTTCTAGTAACTCCTAATATGCTATTTATGTCTTTGAAGAATATTTACAAATATTTCACTTCCCTTTTAGTTGTTCATTACTTTTCTTCTACTGATTGACAATACTAGTTTTGCCTTTTTAAAATTTTTTTCTCAAAATATGATTTTTTTCAAGAACTGTAATTTTGTCATACTGTTCCTCATTTGCATTGGTAATTTTACATATTTTACTTTTATATTACAAAATGTATGAGGGCTTTATTATTTTTTCTAAAGTCAAAAAATTTAAAAACCATGCATAAAACAATATTTAGAAATGTAGAAAAATTGTCTCTTTCTGGAACTGAGCATCCTATATCAGTAATACTACAACACAATATTATTATGCAGTAATCTGTTAGGATTAGCCATAATGTATCCTACAACACATTATTATTGTGTAGCAATCTATTAGAGAGCCATAGTGTATCTTTAGCCTATGGAATGAACGTCATGGTTTGAATAATTTAATTCATGTAATAAAAAAGTGATGTTGCTCTTTGCTTGTTTTTTTTTCATTTGCTTCTCTTAGTTTAATTTCTTATTTGCCAAAACTTTTTATGTTTATTCTGGAGAAACCAAAATAGAAAAAGAAATGAATATTTTTTAAAAATATACCTAGAAAATAGTCAAACTAATTGTATCACAATGGTTACATTTTATATTTTTCACCTATACCCATTCTGAACATGTAATATTATTTTTCTCCATGTTTCCTTTTTCCCTTCGTGTGCAGGGGATTGATGCATCATGTCCTGGATCCAGGTTTACCCAACTATTTAGTTTAGCAAGAAGTGTTTCTTTATTTCTGGTTTAGTGAATTTTGGTTTCTATTTATGCCTCTGGAAAGCCTCCAGAGTTTAAATTTGCCTGTGTCCCCTAGTAGTAAGGGGAATCCATATTTGGTATGTAGGCTAGCCAAAACTAAACTACAGATATCTGCTTTCCCTCTCTCATTATGAATATCTTTTTATGTCAATAAATGCTTTTTATATCTGCATTTTCTAAAGTGCATTCTACTTTATGTGCTTTTAATTTTTATTTTATTTTATTAGTGCATTATGACCATTCATAATAGTGGAAATCATTGTGACATGTTTGTACACAACAATTTGATTAATCTCATTCCCCATCCCCCTGATTATCATCCTCTGTTCTATTGGTCTTTTTCTAGACCACTTTGTTTTTGTTTTGTTTTGTTTACTTCTTTTTGTCTCTAGGTTCCATATATGAGGAGAAAACATGCCATACTTGACTTGACATTCTATTTTATTGATGACCATAATTTATTTAAACCCCTCTACACTTGGACATTTATGGGTTTTCCCCCTTGTTTAAATTTCTTGTTTTGTGCATTGTAATCAATTGTGCAATAAATATCATTGTAGCTAAATCTAAACACATAGCTAAGTTTTCTCTTATGATAAAATCTAAAAGTAGAATTGCTAAGTTAAAATTCAGACATTAAAAAAAATTTTTGATACATATTGTCAAATTTTACTTCAAAACCTTATCACTGAGAGCTCCACTAGTGGTACTGAAATTCAGCATTTTACAAGATCCCTACCAATCCTCTCTTTCAGAAGGGAACTGTGCTTTCCTAACCATATTGAACATTCCAAAATTAAGAGTCCCAAAACTAAAATTTTGGTTAGTACCTTTGCTGACTTGCAACACTTTCTGCTTGTAGTTTTAGATACTATCTAGTAAGGAAAGAAAAGGAAACCGGTAGTGATTTCCTAAACTCAATCTCTCCCCTAAGAACTCCTCACTTAATAATAACAGTTCATAAACTCACCCTTTGTGATGTTTCCAGGAGATGAAAAGTAGATTCATTGTACAAAACCTCTAATAACCCCCTTAGTAATAGTGCACAATGAAAGTTGTTGGGTTGAAGAGAAGTGCACATCTATAAAACCAAATTGTTATTAAAATGTTTATCTATAAATCATTTATCAATTTCAGTTAGCATTTTTCTTATTTGATTTTCCTTAAGTTCTGTATACTTTTATATCAAACCATGAAAATTAAAATGCAAAAATCATAAGTACAATAAGGAGTTTATCTTTGGCCTCCTTTATAAGTAACAGGTTGAGGTTCTTTAGAAAAGTATGTTTTTGATGAAAATTGGTATAAAACTGGAGCACTAGGTTAATCTGACTAAACCTTAGTCTCAATTAAACTTTGACACTTCCATGCTATTTCATGCCTTTTCTAATGGCAGCATACTATGAAAATCATACATTGCATCTTTGTATTTGTTGCCCCAAATTCATGGAATAAGAGATATTTGGGGAGCAAGGAATTTCATCATTAAAGGAGACCTTAAAGATGTTGCAGTTCTATATGTTTAATGGGTGCTGAAGGGATGATGATGGCGATAATACTGAGAAGAAAGAACAAAATTTTTGTAGCTCTTATTATGTACCTGGCATTCTGCATAGTTCCTTGCTTATATTTTCTCACTTATTGAACGAGGAAACTAAGTCCCAGAAAGGAGAAACAATTCCCCCCAAGATCACATGGTTAGTTAATAAAACCAAAGATCAAATCCAGCTCCTGACTCTCAGTGCCACCTCCTGTCCACTATGTAGTGCAGGCCATGTTAAAAACACTTTAGAAATTTAATCTCCAAAGTTTTTAAATTTATAGTTATTAGTATTATTCCTACTGATTCTATTAAATATTTATATCATGAATGTTGAAGGGATTTAGCCATATTTTATCAATTGTCCACAGGCCCTGATAATAATTGTTAGAATCTCCATTTATTGACTTTTTACTTCAGACATGCTGTTTTTAAAACAAAAAGAAAAAATAAAATATTCCCATTTTAGAAATGAGGAACCTAGGGCTTAAAGTGGAATAAATAATTCTTCTAAAGTAAGTAAGTTAAGTAGCTTTAAAGCTCAGACTAATAGATCTTGTCTATTTACCTCCAAAATTCTATTTTACTCTGTTGCTGTTTCATTAAAGAACAACAACAAAAATCAAACAAGCTTGAAATTTATTAATTTGATGCATTATAGAAACACATACACTCTTCTTTTCTTTTGCACTCTTTCTGTCTATGTATGCCTTATTGGGGGGGGGGGGAGGGGACTGGAGATTGATCCCAGAGGTACATAACCACTAAGCCATCCCAAGTCCTTTATTTTTTATTTCAATCCAGGTCTTGCTAAGTTGCTTAGGGTCTTGCAGAATTGCTGGGTCTGGCCTTGAAATTGTGATCCTCCTTCCTCAGCCTCCTGAGTTGTTGGGATTTTAGGCATATGCCACCATATCTGGCTGCCTTATTTCTCAAAACTAATATGAGTGAAAGTATGGTACATGATACTGTATTTAAAAAAATGTGATGGATCTTTCCCACCTTTAAAAGACTGGTTATAGCCTTTAAATTTTTTTTTTTATGATAGACCAAGATATTCAATTAAGAATAAGAGTTCAATTAAAACAAATTTTAAAAAAATGAAAAAAAGGGAATAAGAGTTCAACTCAGTAGATCAGTTTTCTAATTCTTATGCTTTAAATACTTTATGTGTTAAACACTCCTGTTATCAGATTAAAATTAAAGCAGAGACTATGACTACTGAGTCAAATATTGGTGATGAGTTTTCCTCTTCCTTCAAAACAGACCACTTCCTTCACTTACTTATGAAGTATTTATGAAGCCAGCTAGATAATCTGCTTCCAGATTCACTTCCCATCTCCAACCCTTTCCTACTACACCCCAGGAATTGTGAGAAAAATCCAGAGACCTTTCTTTCATTACTCCCATTTGCAGTATTAGTCTTGCAGTAGATCATCAAACAAGCTCACATGCTTTGGTCCTTCATTAATTGCTTTCTGACCACATTATACAGAAAACTAATAAAGATTTTTCTTTCAAATGAATGCAAGAGAGAAATCTTTTATTTGGGGGAAATAGATTAAAATATATACTTATGAAATTAAGGAAAATTAAGTAAATTATTTTTAAATTCAAAATAATGAAATTTAAACAGTTTTACATAAACCCTATTAAGTTTTTCATGAAATTAGAAAACTTTCTTTAAAGAGTGAGTCTTAGTAAATGAATGCTGTAAATTTTACCTTTTTTAAAATAAAATTTCCACACTCATCTAATTTCCTTTTGAAAGCAGTGGTAGAGTAAATTAGAGAAGAAAGTTTTTGGAAGCTTTTCTTTTTTTTTTTTTTTTACCTACCTAAATGCATTTTTTTGTTTTAAGTACCTGGGATTAAAACCAGGGGTGCTTAACCACTGAGCCACATCCACAGCCCTTTTAAAATATTTTCTTTTGAGACATGATCACCCTAAGTTGCTCAGGGATTCAACAAATTGCTGAGGCTGCCATTGAACTTATGATCCTCCTGCCTCAGCCTCCCTTGCCACTAGGATTATAGGCATGTGCCATGGCACCCATTCCTCTATGCATTTTTTAAAATGGCAGCACAGCATATTCTTTTAAATGATCCCACTGATTCTTCACACGTGTTTTTTTTTTTTTTTTTTACCTCCCTGTAACCATTTCAAACAAGTATCCTCTTTGATAGCAAAAATAAAATCCTAAGTCTGATTTTTGCATAGTTGCTTTATGGGTCCTGAATAGTAAATCACATTGAAAAGCAAGGTATTGAAAAAATTTTAAATCCTAAAATTATGTTCCATAGATGATAAAATTTAATTGAATTCCAGATGTTTCATCTAAAATGCCTCTTCTGTCTTTTCCCTTTTATTCTTGTCCCCACTTTTAATGATCCATCGGCTGACAGTGTCTTTACATCCAAAATGCAAAGCAGACAAATGGGCATATCAGGGAAGAACATGACCAAAAGCACCAGCATCAGTGGAGACATGTGCTCACTGGAGAAGAATGATGGCAGCCAGTCTGACACTGCAGTGGGCGCGTTGGGCACCAGTGGCAAGAAGCGACGCTCTAGCATTGGGGCCAAAATGGTAGCTATTGTTGGTCTCTCTCGGAAAAGTCGCAGTGCTTCTCAACTCAGCCAAACGGGTAGGAATTTTTATGTTACTTTTGACTTATTATTTGAGTTGTCATTAAATATATTTTTTCTCTTACTCATTTTATTGCAGTACTGTGAGGATGATGACATGTTCCAGGAGGAAAGGAACATTTAAAACTAGTAAACATTTCTGAAAACATAACCATGATTTTTTTTGCAGTGATCAATAAACTTGCTTCTAAGTGAAGCTTGGCCACTATTCTTGGAATGTGTGTCTTTCCTCCTCAGGGAGGAGTTAAGCTGTGGTACCCCCAGAGCCTACTGATGATCCTCTGTATGATATTCTGATCTCAGGGATATTTGCTTTCCTTTAGGTTCCTCAAGTTGGAACCAGCCAAATTAATTTCCATTCCCAGCAAGTTGCAATGAAGATGATGCCTCGTAATTTGTGTGAATAATACAGTTCTTTTAGTGCTGACAAACTAACTTCCTTTACAGTTTGTAAGCAACATTTACCAGTAGTATCAATTTTCTCACAGCAGTTTTTATTTCCCTGTTTAAACTTCAAGCGGCAGTATTCTCCAGCAGCAGGGGAGGGGGGGATTTTCTGCTGACAGTGAAGATATTCAAAGCTTTGCTGCTTTGAAATTCAGCTTCTAAATCACATCTGCAAAAATAAATTATATACAACACTCCTACTCAGAAAAGCCACTGTTAGCAATTAAGAAATTTGTGAGTCAAAGCAATGTCTTTTTTCAAATGGGTGTTGATAATTAAACATTAAATCCCTGGTATCTTGAAAATAATAATGTATCTTCTACTTAACAAACAAAAGCATGTAATATGGTGTTTCTTTTATAGCAAAATAAATTATAGGCAACTGGATTAAATCTAATTTATGTTTGAATACTAGTGTTTTTGTACACAAAATAAGTAAAAAGTCTACACCACAAAATAATTTATGGTTACATTAATTCTTAGACTCAGCTAATCTTGGTTTTACAAACTGTAATGGTGATTCTGAAAACTATATAGAAATACTATATTGAAATATTTATTTGATGGTATTCCTTATGTTCTGGTTATAACTTGCTATGTTTAATGTGATTTTGTTATGGTAATTTTTCATTTGGTGTTTTAAAATGTTATTTCTCATTTTAACATAGAAATAGAAGTTTCATTTTTGGACAGTGGACATATAGATCACATTTATATGATTTTTAATCTGCTAATATTTATACATAATTCACTATACTGTGCTAATATGACACCTGTTCTTTTGAAATTGAGGAGTGTTTTTATACTTCTCTAGTGGTTAGAACTTTATTGCATTTTCCTCTTTAAAATTTGTCAACATCTTTATATCTAATGCTTTACTTTAGTGCAAACTCACTTCCTTTACAGTTTGAAAGCAGCATTTACTTTGAAAAAGCAAAGTCTATGAAATTTAAAAAATAGGAACCTAAAATGGACATTATTAGAATTATAAATTATGGGGGAGGAAGGGATGGAGAAAAGTTGATCAATAAGTGCTAAGTTACAGTTACATAGGAACAAGAAGTTCTGGTGTGCTATTAAACAGTAGGATGAGTATAGATAACCATAATGTCCTATACATTCAAAAATATATTTGAAAGAGTTTTTACAGTTTTCACCATAAAGAAATGGTATATGTTGGGGGCTGGGGTTGTGGCTCAGTGGTAGAACGCTTGCCTAGCACATTTGAGGCCCTAGGTTAAACTCTAAGCACTGCATATAAATAAATAAAATAAAGGTCTGTCAACAACTAAAAATATATTTTAAAAAAGAAATGGTACATGTTTGAAGAGAGATGTGTTTAACTCAACTCAAACATTACACAATGCATACATGTATTGAAACATTACATGATATCCCATTTTTATGTACAAGTTTTATGTTTTATGTATTAGTTCAAAATATATTTAATTGTATTTGGGGTAAAATTGGGAGTTCATAACCAACTTGAATCTAATGTATGAAATATGATATGTCAAGAGCTTTATAATGTTTTGAACAACCAATAAAAAAATAGAAAAAAATATATATTTAATTTAATTTTCTATATTTAAAACTACAAGTTAGAGAGATGTGGCATTAGACCAGCTATTTAATTCCATTTGTTAGTTTTTAAATAAATATTGAGCACTTACTTTGTTCCAGACACATCAAGAATAAAGATAAGATAGCAATTAAGAAATTTGTGAGTCAAAGCAATGTCTTTTTTCAAATGGGTATTGATAATTAAACATTAAATCATTTATAAGCAAAGTTACATACAATCTAATAGGAGACAGATTTTTAAACAGATTTCTTCCAACTAATATATCAGTGATAAAATAAAATTACAAAGAAGGTGCCTTGTATGCTCAGACACAGACAAATTGATCCAACCTAGAATTCCAGGAATGAATTCCTGGATATGGTACCCAATCAGAGTAATCATCTCAGTGACTAGAGTGACTATTAACTAGGTAAAAGACAATTAGAAAGATCTTCCAAATAAATGCCTTAATAATCAAGATGTAAATATATACATGAATGATAAGTGGTTATGTGTAATTTTAACATAAAATATTAAGTGGCTAGAGATGAGGCTGATCAGGACCCAGATTAGTTGAGAGTCCACAGGTCATATTTATAGGTGATAGACATTTTGAAAGGTTTTCAATAAAGGATTGATATCATCATATTTGTAGTTTGTAGGCCAGTTTACTATTTATTTTGGTAAAAAATATTTGGCATTTGTCATATCAGGGAGAATCCTGGAGAAAACAGAGATAATTTTCCTCTTAGAAATTATATTCTAGTGGGACTATAAAGACACAAATTTAAGTTCACATCTGGTAAAGAACATTTTAGAATGATTAGCAAAGCAGTACAGCAATTCAAATAAGATGGAAGATCCTGAACTAAGTCGGTTGTACTAAAAATGGAGATGTGGATGATGGATTCAGGATTTTTTTCATTAGAGATTAATTTAGTCATTAAAAAAACCTGTTATCTTGGGACTGGGAAGATAGTTAAGTGATAAGGACTTTGCATAGTATGCACAAGGTCTTGGATCCAGTCTCCATCAGTGGAAAAAAAAAAGTCTTACATTTTTTCAGTTCCTATGTAATATATCACATAGGAAAAAACACAACCAGGTAAAATTTACAAATCATTGAAAAACCATTTATAATTAACCATTTATAATACAGAATATAGTGGAAAACTAAAATCAGTCAATATTTTTAAAGAGCACAATTAGTAGTCACCCAACTTAGTGACTGGTTGTATATGAAGAGAAAACAGAAGATGTCTCCCATATTTCTTGCATGACTGGGTAGATGGTAGTGCCATTAATGGATATTGAAAGAATAAGAGAAAGATTAGGTTGATAAAAAGGAAGAGAGACCAATTTGATTCAGAGAACCAGGAGATAAACCTGAGACTTACAAAGTTAGGATGATCACTTAAAACCATGAATATGGCTGAAATTGTCTAAGAATAATACCACAGATGAATAATCATTAGATTAAGACAAGACCCTATGAAATACTGGCATTTTTGAGCTGGGTATAGGAAGAGGATCCTAGGAAGGACACCAAAAAGTATGAATAGAAAGAAAAGAGAGAAACTGTGTGTGAGAGGATAGTGTCAGAGAAGCTGAGAATGTCAAAGAATTGAAGAAGAGAATGGCCAATATTTCTCAATGACCAGTTTCATGTCTGCACAGCTTTCACATATCCCGTGTATATTTCTTTGTTAGTATTTATATTAGAGAATTATGGATCTTTTGATCATACACTGAGATTCTGTGTAACAACACTCATTTGGTTTGCATGGCTGAGTTGTTACAGGTTTTTATCTTCAAAAATATTGATATTGGCAGAATTAAGAAATGTAATCTAGTTCCTTGCTCTATAGCTTCTTCTCTTATATTGCAAAACAAAATAAGTCCCCTTTGTTGTTGTCTTCATTATTATTCAATGATATCATACTGGCTAAAATTTTAATTTTTCTTAAAATTTGCAGTGATTCCTACATACTCAACCAATAGCTTTGACTAATTGACAATAGAATTCAGATTATCTCTCATTTTTAAATACTTAGTTTAAGTATATTAATAGCCAATAGATGTTTTCTACAATAGCTCAACTTCAAACTTTCAGTAGATTTCTAAATTCTGTATTTATATGGGTATGTATACATGTTTCAAGTAAAGTTTTTATGTTTTTTTTTAATTTTTTGGCCCTATGAAACAATGTAAACACAAGCTCCAACAATATTCAAAACTGGAATTTTCAAATTCAACTATTAATAATGTTGTTAAATAGTTTAGAAATTAAATAATCTAAAGTACTTATCTAAAATAATGAAATAGATTTATAGTGTTGGCTTTTTTATTTAGTCATGAATATGTAAGAAGTATTGAATAACTTCCCCCAAACCGAGAAATACCATGTATATTTTCAGCTAATATGTTTTCATTTTCAAAGATATTATTCTATTGACTTTACTCACTTCTGCATGGAGGTCTTCATGTTATTAAGTTAAAGCATTATTTAATGAATGATATTTTTCAATTTTGAGATGGTTATTTATTGTAAAAATTAACACCACTGCATCACCGTGGATTTCAAGATCAGACAAGGCATAGTAAATTGCCTGAAGACATGAAAACTCAGCAAAATGGGATCTTCCTGAAGAAGAGTGAAATGGTTCTGGATGATATCACAGTAATCATATGTAAACAATAACTGGCAGTAGAGAAACCGTTTATAAAGCTGTGTTGGCCATCATACACAGTGGCAAAGTCACCTCTTTTCTGCTACACTATGTTGTGTTCTTCTTTGTCTGTTAGAAATTCAAATTTAAAAATCATCATTTCTAAAGAGTTAAATATGACTTGATAGGCCTCATAATCTAACAGAAAGTGTAAAGAGATAAGGAGACTTGTATTCTATTTTTATTGTGGGTTACATAATTATATTAACTATAACTTTTAAAAACCTGCCCAATGTATCTGAATCAGATTGCGTCCATC